GGTCTGCTATTTCCGTAATGAATCTAGTAGGGTTGGTCGAATGACAGCTATAGTTGAATTTGGTATTGCACTTGGATACTTGTTTGCTCAGATAATGCGTTCAGTTGTAGATGAAGTGGTATTTCAACCGTAAATTTCATCATACATTGTACTGAGTTAACTAGGATCGCGTTACATATTGACGATAGCATGCTTATGATGTAACTTAAACATGACCATAGCAGTGATTGTAGGAATATGTCAAGAGTGGGCATATTTATTGGCTTACAATGGACGGTTATTTTTGTATATATATACGTCAATAAAATTGTTTCGTTTATAAAGTTGGTGTGTTATAGAGATTTCGGATCTACTGTCAATGTGGCATCGATTAAATTGAATAGGCAGTCCATTAGGAAATTGCTATAACCATATAACATTTACAAACTAGTCAAACCAATCAATAGAGGCATTGGAGAGTTATGTCGAATGAGTCTTACAAAGTCCAATTGATTGATTCTTACCATAGCAGTACAGTATATTAATGTTGAACTATTGAAGCTATAGTAAAAATAGAACAGCAAAACTCTCTTACTACCAACATGTGATAAAATAAAAGGGCATCTTGCATTCCTGAACTCCATTCACACTTCTATTCTATATGCATATTACAGGAAGTTTCAACAGTCAGACAATTCCTAACGAACATTACTGCAGATCTAGACTGTTAAAGCAGTAAAGCAACATCTACTTGATCGGCTATGAAAGTCTTTCCCATCGATTATATCATTCATTGCTATCTTCATTCAATTATTAGAACTTTATTGGAGTACGAGTATGATGATCTAATCGATCGCATCTAGAGTGCCAATGACAGCTTTGGGCATTGGTATGAACTAGTATTCGATCGTTGGATTGGTATAATCGACTGTAAATACAATATCAACTTGTCTAAATTAATGCTTAAAGTAAGGATAGCAGAGTATTTTTTACTTATTTTGCAGATGCATTGCTGATATGATTATCGTTATCAATATAAAGTACAACATTAGCTGACTTCTAGATTAATTCACATTGTTTAAATCAAGCTTGGATCAATTTTAGGTGCAGTGAAATGGATCCAAATCATTCTCGAGGCCATGAACAAGATATACTGTATATAGGGATAAAAAATTAAAATTTTGCTTTGGATCACTACTGTAGATATGCATTCTACGACGCTATACTGTACAGTACTGTCGATGGAAGCTAAAAGATGCTCATTCTAACCTACGCCTCCTGCCTACTATCTATTTGTTGAATGGATGAGCAACTCGATTAGGGTTATCAGCTTGTGTCTATCGTACTTATCCAGTTGCATATTTCACCTGTAAAATTTGACTCTTTTTCAAAGGCATTTTTTTTTGGCTGCAACTGGATGTTGAAAGTCGTCGATCAATTCCTCCCTTGTCGAACCATAGAGATAGCAAAAATGAACTATTAGGCTAACTTCAAATTGGTGGTAAGTTTGAATTCTGGCATGGCAGTTGGTTAGAATGGATCGTGAAGAATTCTGTATTGGCAACAAGCTTTGCTTTGTCGCTAATTGTCGGTATATTGTACAGTGTACAGTACTGTATTCGCACCTCTGTACTGTACACTGTACACTCGCTGCACCGCTGTAGCACACAAATGCAATCGGAAAGTAAGCGAAATGCAAGCGAATAGTACCGTGCAGTATACAGTATGTACAGTACAGTATCCTGAGTACGCTCAGTCAGCTGTATACAGAACTTTCAAGCGAAACCTTCCTCGGAGTCTTCTTTGCTTTTCTCTCTTAAAAAAAAGATACTTACAGTATAAAATATACATGTTATCCTCTACATATCAGAAAGCATCATTAGCGAATATACCGTCCAGGTAACATGACACACTGTACAGTACAGTACTGTACAGTGTACAGTATACACAGTACAGTACTGAGTTTTAACGACGGCAAGGAGACCCACTCTGCACAGTGCACGCCACTACCGTACTGCATGCGAAGTTGAAGTACTGTACACTGTGCAGTGTAGTTCCGGCGTTACTATGGAAATGAAGCTGCAGTAGACTTCAAGTTTTGTTGTTGCTCATATTCGTAACTGCGTTGGACTTCGTGGAAGAGAAGTGATGCTTGAAACATTTTGAATAAGTTGCCACGTTTGATTGGTGTCACAAAACAGCTTTGCAACAAGATAACGTAATGTACGATCAATAAATCAATTCCTTGAACCACGCATTAAGGAACGATATCTGCACTAAGAAACACTTTTGCTCTACTAGCAGACTACACAAAGACTTAAACGCCTCGTATTTTACGTTAAACACTAAGTTTGAGAATCCACTTTATTACGCGATATACTGCATTTATATACTATTCCTCAATAGTTCACGAGTCATAGTTAAGACAATTAACATTGGAATCATTTACTGAATTAGATATTAATTTTAGCTGCTGCTCCTTTAATGCAGACAACAGTATTTTCGAATATAGACATGTAATGACTAATACAGAATAGTCAGATTACGATATGTCCTATCACGGAACATTTCCATGATAATTTACAATCTACCATAAGTAAATTACCATCACAATGATTCGAACTATAAGTAGATATTAATTTTAGCTACTGCTCCTTTAATGCAGACAACAGTATTTACGAACATAGACATGTAATGACTAATACAGAATAGTCAGATTACGATATGTCCTATCACGGAATATTTCCATGATAATTTACAATCTACCATAAGTAAATTACAATCACAATGATTCGAACTATAAGTAGATGATTTGCATTCCCTATTATAACTATTAATTTCAGTATGTGTATAAGTGTCACTGTCATAAAAAGTCAGTACTATATTAAAATACAGTATATCCAAATTAGAAGTTAACTAAATAAGGATAGTCTAACAGAATTATCCTATTATAGATATTTCTACTCTAATACAGTATATAACACTGTCACAATTGGCTAACTCATGGAAGCCTCTTTGAGCTATTTTGCCATGAATATTGCCTATAAATTGATTGCGATACTTTGCAAAGTTGCGGGCTGATGGAATTGTCAGCTGCCACAGTTGCGCATTTTAGCAATACATTAAAAATTTCTTTCTTTCAAAATACTGTAGGTAACTGTCACAGCACACTATCCAGCTCTGTACAATTGGGTAGATTTACTGTACATTCTTTGAGACTGAAATATGGTGAGATAGAGTTGGAATCATTTTGGAATGAGTTGTCGTTTTCTGATTGGATAGCGTACTATAACCTCCTTTTAAGTATTTTCTACTCAAAAGACACCATAAAAACGTGTTCCTGCCTCATTTATGTAAGGTGGTAGTCAAATAAAGTATACTTGTCACTTGAAGAAGGGACGTGAACTATTTTCTGTCGTTCCTTGTTGCAAGCTTTGACTTGTAACAGTAGCCTACTAAACAACGTAGTTATCTAGGGTTTTTGAACGTCCAGAGACTTGGCTAATTAGTTTTATTGCTCTACTCAATCAGTGCGGCGATGAAGGTAGTCGTTGAAGATCATAGTATTGGTTAGTCGCCTGTGCTATAATAGAAGTTGAACTACTAGTGACAGATT